CTTTTCTGGAAATCTCAATATTCTGAGAAGTCTTTTCGTCTTGAGGCAAAGGCTTCTGTTTCCTCTGGGAGATTCCTCCAGCCGAGATTCCCAGACCAAGGATGCAGACTCCAAACCCAGTTCCAAGAGGGCTTTAGTCCCCAACAATAGCCCTTCCCAAACACCCCCCCCAAACGTACACACACAAAAGCGTGTGTCCATATCCCAGTTCTGTGGTTGTTTTAGAAATCTTAGTCAGTACCATTAGTGTTGAACTTAATCAAGAGAAGTCAACCCTTTTTCTCATGAACATAACGTGTTAACCAAACAGGATATTGGAGAGTTATATTTCTTCTCTTAGATAAATCTTTTTTGGCAAGAAGCAGGAAACAAGGAAGTACAGGGGTATTACACAGCTGCAAATAGGAGGTGAAAAGACTGAAAACACTTTTTCCCCCTCCTCAAGTTTTTTGGCTCTAGTGAGCACAATCACCATAGAAAGCAGCAGTGTACATTATAATACATTACCAAATCACAGTTTGAATATAGTTGTCCCTTTAGTACATTCCTCGTTTTCAGCATAACTAATTAGAGGTGCAGATCCCAAGCCTACATGACTTTCCCAACTACTGTAAGCAGAGAGGTCGTCTGATAATTAGTTACCACAAATCTTGTAGCTCTTTGGTGGTAAGCAGAGTACCTATTGTAGATAAGATAGTGTTGTGAAAAAAATGGTCACTGAAGAAAAAACAAAGCTTTTGGGGAGGGAAACAACAAAGTATAGTTTACTGGTATCGCCTTACAGTGATCACTGGGCTCCCTAGCAGCCAATAGCAGGAGAGAGCTCTGAGCAAACCCACTCTTCAGATTATATACATATTGTCTTTAGCATTTGAAACAGAAATAAGAGAAAGATAAAAGGGGTAAGGCAATTACACAGCATCCTTTTCTCTGGAGTGTTTTGATAAGCTATTAAGTTGATTTTTTTTTTAATACACTTGTATATCCTTCCTGATACTATCAACATGTAGCATAAACATCAGTGTTTACATTGTGATCTCCTGTTACCTGATTCTAGCCAAATAAGGGCAACGATCTGGGTTATGTGAACTGCTTCTGGTACAGGGCCACAGCACTAAATATTAGATCGGACATTTGTACTGTTGTTAGTGATCTACATACTGTATTATACCTAATAAACGAAATGGAATATTTAACCTTTAATATGGCCCGTAGTACCACAATACCAAGAGAAAGCAACAAATTAACACACCTTTACATTTTATGCACACATACACAATTTGCTGCCCTAATTCTCCTATGTTTCTGATTTTATTACCTAAAAATGTTGCATTGTGAGCTGGCATTTTTTATCAATCAGGTCACAGAATATTGTTCTAGAAAGCAGTTTAAGGAATGTTCTGTCTTTGGGCCGTTCTTGGTTATGGGAGTTTATGCCTGTTATCCACCCATTGTAGTTTGGTCTTTTCCCGGTTTGCAGAATTTCATTGTTTAGTCCATCCCAGGATAGTGTTGCAGTCTACATGTACCTGTGCATTGAAATAAAGTATACTGTATATTGTTGATTAAACTTTAATATTTATGATAAGAGGGCTCTTTAAGTCCAATATTCATCACAGTTACTTCCAAAAGTGGTTTGCTGGGAAAATCTGCCAAGATATTTCAATCCATTCAAACAGAGATTCTCTCTGGTTCAGCTCTTGGTTTCTAAATATTCAAAATAACCTTACAACATTTATAACTAAAACTTAAACCAATCAGGGAATTAGAGGAGAGAAAGAATGAAGTGTCCAAATTGCCTTTTAATCACAATCATAATATTTTCTGGGGGCGCGTCTTCCCTGCAAAACCATCTCAGTGTTGATCCCAAGGTCTGTCCCTGAACTGCCCACCGCAAGAGGCAAAGGGAAGGCAAACCAAAAGGAAGGGGAGATCGATCTCGTCCCTCTCAAGACTAAGGTCCATAAATCTAAAGGAAAATACTTCAGGAGGAAGAGATAGAACAGGTATAAGTACATTGACAAAGAAGGAAAGGCCACACCTATCGAGAAGAGGAAAAGATAAAGAAGGAACTCCTGATCAGAATGAAAAGAGGAAATTAAAAGAGGCAACAAAGCAATTCACAAAAATGGCAGCCATGTACAGAGCAGAATCCTTCAGTTGTATCACTTGTATCAGTGAGCTAATACAGTTTATGGTCCTGCAAAAGTGGATCATAAACCAGACTGTTCTTTCAGTTGCAGGAGCCGGTCATGGGAGAGATCCCAGCAGAGCTCCAGGGAAGAGATCGATCCACTCCGTCTCAAGAGCTGCTTTTCAGGAGGATCCAACTCAGACCACCTCGCCAGGTAAGTGTAGGTGTCTTCTGAGAGCAGTAGAGTTCAAGCTCCGCCTGTTTATGAGCTGCTTTTACAACCAAATGCTGAGTCTGTGTGCATTGGAACAGTGTCCCCCCAAGAATGACCCACTGAATCACACTCATTCTACTTTAAAAATTCTTCTGGAGATGCAAATGAGAAACAATTCGCAGGCTGAGAGGCTTGTATTAGGAAATGTAATTTATTTATTGAAAGAGTTTTAATACTTCTTAATACTTTTCAGAGGTGTGCTGAAAACCAATTAAAAAATGAAGCCCATGAATTGAAACAATAGGAATAAGATAAAAACTGCTTCAGAAATATGCCAGCATAACCACTTAAAAATGAATCGTATGAAGGACAGATTTCCCATGTAAAAACCCTTAAGTCAGTGCTAAGTGGCTGCAACAGTAAGACTGTTGGTCAGGTGACTTGGGATTCCCAGGCCCATTGCCAACATTTTGAAATAGGCCGGGAAAGAAATTCCTAGTGAGTGTGTCGTATTTTCTAAGGAATTTGGAATTTGCTCCCCAAGCAGGTGAGACCAGGGGATTCTGCTCCCCCAAACCTTGGTGAGTTATTCTAGGCCAGGGGGAGGCTCCCCAAGGGGGCTGTGTTGCCATTCTACAAGTTGGATGCAGTCATGTTTTGTGCAGTTACAGCAGCAGCCTCGGGGGGGGCGGGGTTGACTTCACAGGCACAAGGACTATGTGGACATGCAGACATAAACCTGCCCTGCAAGAAAATGTCCATTTGGTGCCTTGCAAAGCTCTTTTTTCTGTTTTGTTCAGTAAGAGAGAACTTATAAGTCTTTTGTGGGATTATCTGCTAAGGAAAATTTTCTCTTTTTCTAGGGTTCTGGTCCCTTTGAAGAGGTGGCTGTGGACTTCACAGAGGAGGAGTGGGCATTGCTGGATTCTGGCCAGAGGGCCTTGTGCAGGGAAGTCATGCTGGAGATTTCAAGGAATATGGCTGCTCTGGGTAACGTCCCTCTTTACTCTGGGTTCCATTCATTGGGAAAGCTTTTTTTCAGTGGGAGGTGTTTAGTATTTCAATAATATCCAAGGCCATATATCTAGGCTGGTACTCAAAAAACATTCTGAAAGAAGGCATGATTTTCCACTTCTTCATTGTTGCCAAGAAAGCTTCCTGGTTGTGTCCATGAAGCAAACAGAGACCTTCATCTTAACTGGCAGGAAATGGGTTGGGAATGCTGTGGGAGGCCCAAAACCCTTTGGCATATTTAGAGGGACAGAAAGGGGAGATGAAAAGAACCCCTTCCAGCTACTTGGAACCATCTGTCCCACCAGCAGTTCTGCCCCCTCCCGCCATCAAAAATGAAGGATGCAGATTCTGAAAAGTGTCAGTGCAAGCAGCTATTTTTTGTTCTGGGGAAAAGATGGAGAGGAAGAACTAGAAAATAGGACTTAATCAATGAATGACGATGGTGGGGAGAGAAGAAGCAGTTAGCTGCTATCTGCTCATCAAAGAACTGGGTGTCCAAAAGGAGTCCCAAGTTATAATCCAGTTCAGTGCAGGGACTTCTGACCCCATCCAGAAATGAATATGGAATCTCTGAAATCAGATGGCTTCCATTCTTAGAGCAGCTCCAGTTTTCTGGGACTTAGCCCCAATTTGTTCCTCTGCACATCCGGACTTGCATAGCTTGGACATCATCCTGTATGCAGCCTGGGCTCAAGATATAAAGTGTACTATAGTATCAACATTAGAATGACTTACCTAACCCCATTTTGATGGATCACTTCATTCAGCACTACATGTCTAAGTTAAACAGGAGTGCAGAGAGTGTAAAGCTTTGAGGAATTCCACAACTGAGGAACCTTGGGCCTGACCTCCCCCCCCCCGCCCCCCAAACGCTGCACTGAAACTGTCACTTAGGGAAAGACAACCACTGCAAAACAGTATTCTCAAACCCTGACCTTGGAGGTGGTCCAGAATGATACCGTTATCAATTGTATCAAAAGCCATGGAGAGATTAAGTAACATTAGGGGGATCATACTCCTCATATTCCAATTCCTCCAGAGGTCACCCCCCAGCATTATCCAAGTTGTCTGTAACTCTGACTTGAAACTCCACTGAAACTGGTTCAGATAATCTCCCCGCAGAGTCCTCTGCAGCTGTAGCCTCACCCTTTTCTCAACAACCTTTGCCAGAAGAGCCTGTTGGAGACATGAGTAGTTATTCAGAATGGCCAGGCTGAGTGATGGCTTTTGAGGAGGGGACACCGCTGCTTCCTTCAAGGAGGAGGATAGCAGCTCTTTGGCCAAGGAAGGATTTACTAAATTCTAACGAGAATTTCTATTTTCTTTTTTCCAAGCTGGTGATGGGCCGGAGAATGACAATGACAATCAGGCGACGTTAATGCCACTGCAAACAGCAGAGCGTGAAGTCAAAGAAGTTACATTTGACCATCAAGGAAATCCAAAAAGGCAAGAGAGAAGTCACTCAGAAGATGGAGGGGAGAAGTCCTCCACTTCTCTCCCTGTTGAAATCCATGGCTTCCAGACCCTGCAAGATCAGAAAGGGAAGAGAAGGGGAAAATATGGGAGAAGAGAGAAAAATGAATTTGATTTAAGTGAATACGGCAAAAGCCAGACTAAAGGAAAAGAATATCGCTACAGACAGTATGGAAAATACATCAATCATTCTTTTTCTCTTACTTTACCTAAGAAACTGTACAGGAAACACAAACCACATACATTTATAAAATTTGGGAAGGGTTTCAGTCTAAGCAGAGAGATGAAACTATGCATGAAGTGTGGAAAGAGCTTCAGTAGCAGCAGTACTCTTAATCGCCATCAGAGGATCCATACAGGTGAGAAACCATATAGTTGCATGGAGTGTGGAAAAAGCTTTTGTCGGAACACACAGCTTATTCATCATAAAAGGATCCATACTGGGGAGAGACCATATAAATGCACGGAGTGTGGAAAGAGCTTTATTGAGAACAGAGACTTTACTCGCCACCAAAGAATCCACACAGGGGAGAGACCATATAGGTGCATGGAGTGTGGAAAGAGCTTTATTGACAGCAGAGACCTTAGTCGCCACCAAAGGATCCACAGAGAGGAGAGACCATATAAATGCATGGAGTGTGGAAAAAGCTTTAATGACTACAGCACCTTTACTCATCATGAAAGGATCCACACTGGAGAGAGTCGATATAAATGCATAGAGTGTGGAAAAAGCTTTAACAACCATGAGACCTTTACTCATCATAAAAGGATCCATACAGGTGAGAAACCATATAAGTGTATAGAGTGTGGAAAGGGCTTTATCCGGAAAGGACATCTTACTCGTCATGTAAGGATCCACACAGGGGAGAAACCTTATAAATGCACAGAGTGTGGAAAGGGCTTCAGTACTAACTGTAATCTGACTCGCCATCAGAGGATCCACACAGGAGACAAACCTTATAGTTGCAGGGAGTGTGGAAAGAGATTCATTGAGCATAGTGACCTTACTTCCCATCAAAGGACCCACACAGGGGACAGACCATATAAATGCATGGAGTGTGGAAAGAGTTTTTTTGACAATAGTGACCTTACTCGCCACCAAAGGATCCACACAGGAGATAAACTGTATAAATGCATGGAGTGTGGAAAGAGCTTTACTCAAAAAGGAAAACTTAATTCTCATAAGAGGATCCACACAGGGGAGAGACCATATAAATGCATGGAGTGTGGAAAGAGCTTTATTGACAACTGTGACCTTACTTCTCACCAAAGGATCCACACAGGGGAGAGACCTTATAAATGCATGGATTGTGGAAAAAGCTTTCGTCGGAACACAGAACTTATTCATCATAAAAGGATCCACACTGGGGAGAGACCATATAAATGCATGGAGTGTGGAAAGCGGTTTACTCAGAAAGGACATCTTACTCACCATGAAAGAATCCACACAGGGGAGAGACCTTATAAATGCATGGATTGTGGAAAAAGCTTTCGTCGGAACACAGAACTTATTCATCATACAAGGATCCACACTGGGGAGAGACCATATAAATGCATGGAGTGTGGAAAGCGGTTTACTCAGAAAGGACATCTTACTCACCATGAAAGAATCCACACAGGGGAGAAACCATATAAATGCCCAGAGTGTGGAAAGAGCTTTGCTCAGAAAGGACAACTTAATTCTCATGAAAGGATCCACACAGGGGAGAGACCTTATAAATGCATGGAGTGTGGAAAAAGCTTTCGCTGGAGCACAGAACTTATTCATCATGAAAGGATCCACACTGGGGAGAGACCATATAAATGCATGGAGTGTGGAAAGCGGTTTACTCAGAAAGGACATCTTACTCACCATGAAAGAATCCACACAGGGGCGAAACCATATAAATGCACAGATTGTGGAAAGAGCTTTGCTCAGAAAGGACAACTTAATTCTCAAGAAAAGATCCACACAGGGGAGAGACCTTATAAATGCATGGAGTGTGGAAAGCGGTTTACTCAGAAAGGACATCTTACTCACCATGAAAGAATCCACACAGGGGCGAAACCATATAAATGCACAGATTGTGGAAAGAGCTTTGCTCGGACAGGACAACTTAATTCTCATAAAAGGATCCACACAGGGGAGAGACCATATAAATGAATGTAGTGTGGAGAAAGCTTTAACAATCACAAGACCTTTACTCATGAAAGCATCCACACTCGGGAAAATCCATACAAATGCAAGGAGTGTGGAAAAAGCTTTAACAACCACTAGACTTTTACTCATCAATAATGGATCCGTACAGGTGATTAATCATAAAAATGCATAGAGTGTGGAAAGAACTTTAGTGGTGAAGAACATCTTACTGGTCATGAAAGGATCCACACAGGGGCGAAACCTTATAAACGTATAGAGTGTGGAAAGGCCTTCAGTAGAAACCTATCTGACTTGCCGTGGGAGGATCCACACAGGGGAGAAACCTTATAGTTGCATGGAGTGTGGAAAAAGCTTTCGTCAGAACACAGAACTTATCATAAAAGGATCCACACTGGGGAGAGACCATATAAGTGCCTGGAGTGTGGAAAGAGCTTTTTTGACAACGGAGATCTTACCACCAAAGGATCCATACAGGGGATAAACTGTATAAGTGCCCAGAGTGTGGAAAGAGCTTTACTGAGAAAGGAAGACTTAATTCTCACAAGAGGATCCACACAGGGAAGAGATCATATAAATACATGGAGTGTGGAAAGAACTTTAATGATTACAGCACCTTTACTTGTCATAAAGGGATCCACACAGGAGAAAAATATAAATGCACGGTTTGTCCAGTGGTTAAGCCAGCAGGCTAGAAAGCAAGAGATAGTGAGTTCTGGTCCCACCTTAGGCATGAAAGTCAGATGGGTGACTTTGGGCCCGTCCCTCTCTCAGCCTAACTCACTTCACAGGGTTGTGGGGAAAATAGGAGGAGGAAGCAGTATTCAGTATGGTTGCATTCTTGAGTTGTTTATAAAAATAATAAAGGCGGGATAAAAAATAATAAAAAAAACCAAGTCATCGTCAAAGGATCCAGACATGGGAGAAAACTTATTGCATGGAACATGCAAAGATCTTTGGTTCGTCTTATTTTCCATCCTGTGAGGGTTCTTTTGTTTTCCGAGGACTGGACACACCACAGCGTAGCAGATCTGCACACAATGCTTTATTGTGGCACACACCTTCCCCAACAACAGGCTATTGCTCTGGGTTAACTCCACCCTTCTAGGCCTTGCAGTCTGATGGTGCTACATAAATACATCTTTAATACTCAGTCCTTAAGGCAAACAGATGTCTCAAAGTCTGTAAAGTGGCATGAACCTTTCCCTCCCTCCAAAAGTTCTTGCACTGGTTGAGATGAGAGGCTGCCTCAATGTGGTTGCTCCTTTTCGGGTTGCTTCCAAGCTCTTGCTTTTGAGCGCTCCAGCTGAGCTCACAAGCCAGGCTCCAGACAGGACTCCCACCTGGATATGCTGCTTACTGTAGCTTGTGGTCTTGGCAGTTGACTGTTAGCCCTCTTGCCTGCCTGTAACAGTTGTCAGTCTCCAAACATTGCCTCCTGCTTGCCCTTATCTCCTTTCCTCCTGCACACATTGTCTTAATGTTTGCTTTTGTAAGCCTGAGTGGGGCAAGGCTGCCTCTGAACATCAGCATGTCTTTGAAAGCACTAGGGTGTGGCTCAATTAGCCAGGCAGCTGGAACACTGGCATGGATGCTTGTAAGTAAACTGAGTGAGTGAATGAACGAATGAGCCCACCTCTTAGGTTTCTGGGGCTGTACCTTTGGGAAAATGGGCTGTGTTGAGCCTTGGGGAAGTGAGGTGGGAAGCGTTTCTGCCTGACTGTAGCTGCCTTTTCCAAATGCAGACAGCAATCCCAGCTTCACTCCCTTAGATATCCACACAGGAGCAAAGCTATAAATGCACCAATATAGAAAGAGCTGAAGATGGAACAGTGGCCTTACTTGTCATGGGATGACCCATACAGGAGAGTTACCATAGAAACGTATGAGATAATGGGCGAGTCAGTGAAAATGCACCATTGTGTCACTCATCTTACACTTTCTGCACATACTGTATTCCCAGTTATGGAGAAAATATCTCTTTGAAAGGTGGTTACCTCAGTAGGACTTGATTTCTGGGTCTGTGGTCAAAGGAAATTTGGTTGGATGTGATAATGTGACGGCCATGGAAGATTGAAAAAGAACAGAAGAAGTAACACTGCACAGATAAAGAGAAGAGAGGTGAAGAGGTATATAATTTTTTTCCCCATATTAAGGACAGAGGTTCATGTAAGTCTTTAGGACTTACTTCAGATGAGGTCTGCCTAGGGCTGCAATATTATCACACAGCTAAATATAACTCCAAACTGCATGTTTTAGAACACCCAGGTACATTGTCCAAACCATCTTATTCCCACTGATTTTACGCATTTCCAAATTGTATAAATGGATTTGTTCCATATTTCTCAAAAGCGTCTGTTCTGGGCAGTCAACAATCAGAGAAAAGGGTTAGGAATTCAGATTGGAAGAGAAAGGAGATGTTAGGGATCTCTGGGGATAATGGTAGGCCAGGTCCTTCATAGAGACCTTTTTTGCAGTTCTCTGACCTGAAGGCATTATAGCAAGGCTTCCTCTGCAGTCAGTGGATAGCTCCTAAGAAGCCTCTAACTGACCAGCCCCATAGAGTTCAAATTCCATGCAGACTGGATACAGCAAGGCAGTCACCGTGTCTGAAGAGTTGTGCTGAGCAAATCTTGCTGGAACACAAGGCAAAGCATCTGCAGAAAACACAATCCATGCTTGGGTGCTGATTGCTCTAAGCTCAGAGAATTCCCAAAAAGGTCTGTAAAGAGACTTTCCTGTGTTTTTTCTTATGTTCATCTTTTTTTGCCCCATCTCTTTCTCCTCCCTTCCTTTCCATGAAACTGTCTTGCCAGATCACCCAATCCAATTTTGAGGGCTTGCAGAATCTACTGAACCAGAAACTCACCTCCAACCTGGGTTTGCCCATTAGTTGCAGTGAAATCTGGTTAGTAGCAGGCTGGGATCTTTAGAAAGTATGTATTTGGGGCTTTTAATATTAGAAAGCAAGTCTGTGGCTGGGAGATAAAAGATGTACAGCTATGTCTGATGTAGAAAGATCAGATAAATTCTCCCTGATAAAAATGAACTGAAATGAGGGATCCTCTGGAGCTAAATGTGGAAGATTCTGGATGGAGAGACCCACTAACTGGGTCCTTGTAACTTGTCAGGTTAGCCTAAAAATGGGATTGGGTAATTTCTGGCACCTGGCCAACCTTGTCTACATAAGCAGGGTCTGCACATTAGAGATGGGACAGGAGATCACCAGAAATTCCAAGATGGAAGGCTTGTAGTGCTGTTTGAGGACAGCTGGAGGGTGTAAGAGTCCATCTTTGGTTCTCTCTTCTTTTCCTTGAACACGTGACTATCTTCTTGTCTACATTGCATTGTGCAGTTAAAAGCGATTATTGTTTTAAGTTGCTCAATAAATTATTTCAGGTTTTACCCTATTTGTGTTTCCATTGCCTGAACCTCTTCCTCATACTTGGCTGGGGCAAAATGAGGCTAGACTGGGAAGTTGAAAAAAATATATCTGAACATAGCAGTGGCAAACTACTTCCATGTTCTTATTGAGAAAATGGTGCTGTTTGAACCAGGCTATCTCATAAATAATTGGATAAATCATTGATTGACTGATTGATTGATTGATTGACTGACTGACTGATTATGTGCGACGAAAGTATTGCCAACTCTTAGCAACCACCAGTCAAAACCTGTCCAGAATGCACTGGCCCTTCAGGACTCCCAGTGGTGCACTCATTCCTGCTGTAATGGAATCCATCTGCCTCGTTGCTGTTCCTCTTCTTCCTCCCATCTTTCCTACTTTTATAGATTCCTCAGTGGAGTCGGGTCTTCACGTAATGTTCCCATATATGATGGAGCCTTGTCATTTCTGCCCCGAGTGTGAACTGTGGGTTGATCTCTTCTATGATCCAAACAGCTAATGGCATTTTCAAGAGTCTTTTCCAACACCAAAGTTGAACAGCAGTGTTATTCTTTCTATCCTGTTTCTTCAATTTCTGCTTCCATAAAGTTTCACAGAAAAAACTATCGCCTGCTGGATTCTGATCTTCGTAGGAATAGACACATCAGCATCTGTATATCTTTGTGAACACCTTCATCCCTCATCTACCAAATGCTAGTCTGAGGCATATTTTTTGCCTGTTGGTTCCTTTACTGTTTACGGTTGACCTCAAAACATCTTCATGTATCACTGCTGCCTGATTTAGGTGCCTGCTTGCTTTAACTGGGCCGCTGGGAGGATCTTCACACCTTGAGGGACTCTGTGAGAGCACATATTCTTTGGCGGATGCTCCTGGACTGGTTCATCTTTCCCACCATGGAACATGGCCTCTGCTGGGATGAGGCAGAATAAGGGAAAATGTTTTGTTAGTTTTGAAAGGAAAACATCCTCCCTGGTAAATTACATTCCCAGGGATCCAGGTGATAAACCTTGTCAACTCAGCCATAAAACACTTAGGAAGCCAAAAGATGTTAATCAAGCTAGGAGAAGATACTAAGAGGGAAGACTGGGAGGCAAGACTGTAACATTCACGCAGTTACAGCGGGCCTCTCACGAGTGAGGGGAAAGAAGACACCAA